GGAGCGCCTGGTAAAAAGGCGTTGCATCGAGAAATAACGCAATCAACATTTCACTCACGACGATTACCTATTCCAAGGGAATCTCGAATATTAATAAGCCAATGGGCTTTAAAACAAGCCTTTGTTAAGTACAAAATAAATATTTCTACATTTAATATGGGACGGATGTATATTAAACTTCGTTAAGTCGAAAATATATTCTAAGTCTGCATTATTTAATTCTTAATAATATAATTTTTCCGATTGTAGTCAAGAGATGGCGTTGAAATCAATTTAAAACGCGGTATGATTTTGTAACAACTACAGAGATATAAAGCTATATTTGGTAAAAAAACACTATATTTGAAATAACTATAGCATTTTGTGACGTGGTTTTTGTTAGATTAGATTACTGATCTGCAAAAAGAAATCAGCAAAATTGTAATTTACAATTTGCATTTTTAATTAGCTTAGAAAATTACAGGTCGGTTCAGTCTTATTCTTGGATCTTTTATTACTGTTTAATAATTTAGGAACCAAATTTTATAGCATTTAAGATATGTACAATAAACACATATCCATTTTGCTTAAGTCGTTCTAACCAAAAAGGGATAAAAGGGGATACGTGCACATCTGGTTCAAGTGTTTGTTACCGTCGTTATGTGAAATTGGTCAGAATAGCATAATTGCTTTGTAAATAACCTTCTACCCTTTTACTGTAAGGATTTTACTATATAAAGTACCATAGCAAAGTTACCATCAGTACATAACTAATATCTTTTTCTTTACAGCCAGTAATGTGACGATTATGATTATTTGCTTATCTTGTCTTTATTTATTCATCAACATCATCAGCTCACTATACGTCCCCACCGAGGGGCTCGGAGCCTACCCTAAATTAGGGTGATTAGGACATAGTCAATCACGCTGGCCAAGTGCGGGTTGGTTCACTTCACACATATCTTGAATTTCTTCTCAGATATGTGCAGGTTGCATCACGATGTTTTCCTTCACCGTAACGAAAGTCGGATAAATGTACATCTGTAAATCGGAAATCGAAAAACACATTGGTACATGGCGGGATTCGAAACCAGGACCTGCAGATTCCATGTCTAGTGCTTGACCCCTGAGCCACCGACGCTCGCTTCATTTATGATCCAGTATCTATTTGCGTATATGAATAACAGACATAAATATTTTTAAAAATATAACTTCTTATCGGAGCATAACATGTCTTTGGTGTTAAAAGCATGGGCACTTTATTATGGGTCTCCCGGAACAAAGTAACGGCTATGTCTTTACTTTCCACATTAAACATTGGGAACTACAATTAAACAGATATTATTGCGTAAGTACGTGTCTAACGACTTTCCTTTGTCTCCCTCAATTGCTTGGATGTAAGAGAACTGCGCCAAATAACTATAAAATAAATCGATTGTCTTGTATCTATTGTTCAAATGTTTCTCTAAGATTATTTAATTTTAAGTACCCTTGTAAGTTAAACCATTATTTGTATCACGTTTGAAAACCAATTCTAAATTTTATTAGCATTCTTTAAAATTTTTAGTTTCAATAATCTTGGTTTTAACTTCTCACATCATGTTTCTTTCTTCTTAATATATCCAAATAATGGACTTGTTTAACATGACCTTAAAATATATATATTTGATCAATAGCTTGTGTCCTTTGACGAGTTAAATTCATTTGGTTCCGCTGATGAAACAAAGGGCAAGCGGTCAGTGCTGTTGACAATCTAATATTCAGTTGCCGCCGGATGTTGAACGAAATTGAGAAACTGCTGGCGCTGTGTTACTATCATACGGAATTTACAATAGTTTGTTACGCAACTCACGAGGCTAAAGAATAGGCTTCAATATCATCCTTATCTTTGAAGACAAATTATTTCAAATTGGAATTATAAATACGACAAAGCTCTTAACTATGGTTTGATGTACACTTATCCTTATAAATTATTATTGTAAATTAATCAGCATTTCCTATAAACGACAAGATACTATTGACGACGGCGATAAACAGTTTTTCCTATTAAGAAAATATTAAACTTTCGTGTAATTTTTTGGGATTTTACAATATACTAAAATAATAAAGCGAAGCTGTCAAATATAACGCATGACATTTAAATCAAAACATAATTATCTCCTTGTTTTTATTTCACTCCTTATGGGGCGGAGCTCCAGGTTCGTGTCCACCAAATTGATCTAGCCAAATACCGCGCAGTCTATCTTTTTCTAGACAATTGTAGTAGTATCTATCTAGTATTATCACTACTGTAATTAAAAAATATATATTAAATTTGTTATCATAAAGATCTGATACTATTATAAATTATTGTGTAACTGTTCTTATCGTGGACGGAAAGACAGTTGGACATTATCGTAATATTTTATTACAATGTATGGCGCTTCATTTCTCATAAACGATATGAGGAATCTATAAATCATTTGTTAGTGGTCTTCTCTCTTGCAAAATTGCATTGGTTTTTTTATTCCTATTTTTGTTTAATAAACTGTTTACCGATCTTTGACAAAACACAGATAACAAGATGTTTTAAACGGAGATTTTGGTGTCAGAAATTCACGGTTAATCAGCTAGAGAAATTAATAGATTTTCAATGTTTCCGTTTTAATCATTAAAATACTGAATTGAATGGGATCTTTTTTGTACTGTTTAAATAAAATATAAGAGATGATGTTTTCGTTTAAATAGTAATACAAATAACAATTTAGTAAAGTAAATTACTGTAATTCTGCAAGTTGAAATAAATTTATCTCTGTATGTGAAGATGTGGAACATTGTCGTAAAATTTTATTACGAAGTAGCTTTCCTTGCTGATAAACGATAAGGAAAATTACGTATGAAGCCTAAAAGGGAAGTAACTGTAATTTCTGCGCCGACGATAAACCTCCTTATTTTCTGATGTACTTTGATACAGTAAATAGTCTATTGATTTTGAAATTCGGTTTCTTTTTACCTGACATTATTTCAAATTCTTAATTCTTTACTCGATATGTTTGACATCTTATCGTTTTTTATACAGTTTAAATAGGTTTTTGAATACTAAACATATATTTTAAGTGACATTTATCAGATTGATTGTTCACTTAATATATATTGATACTAGCGGACCCGACAGACGTTGTCTGACAATTTGACACTGCGATGGTAGCGCCGTCTGTCGGATCCAATGTAAAACGTTCCAAAATCAACAACTACTAATAAATTAAAATTTAATTAAAAAAACATTGTCCAGCGGACAAAATTGTGAATCTAAACCATTCCCAGATCCCCTTGAACATACACAAAAAATTTCATCAAAATCGGTCCAATCGTTTGAGAGAAGTTCAGTGACATACACACTCACATAAGAATTATATATATAAAGATTGCGTCTAGAACTTTAAAGTGAGATAGGGACGATAAAAGACTTACAATAGAAGAATTTTAAACACATTTATTTATTTAAAAATGCATAGTTACCAGTTAACAAATAAGCAAATTTACATTTTAGAAAACTAAATTTATCTTAACAAAGTTTAGGTAAATTAGCAAATTATTATTTTTACGAAAATAAAATGAAGTTTACAATACGTTTCGAATGTTCTGATAATTGATATTGTCATCTCTTTCATTCTCCTAGGAAAAACAGAGACAACAATAATATGTAAACACGGTAATAAACCGACAAAGTTATCTGACCTGGCGAGCATAAGACAAACTTAATCCTGATAGCTCACCAGCGCCCCCATCAATGTCAGGTCCTTGTCGTAATGTCATTTTATATGACTATGGAGGTCTGACGAATTTTTTGACAGTACTAACCGCGATTACAGCGCCTCCCTTGCAGGGCCAGAAAAGCTTATAACACTGTACGTTTAATACGTGACTTAGACAATGAACGTTAACGATTTTATCAGTTTTAATACAGCTCAGACCATTTGAAATGAAATATAATATTTTAGATGACTAATGCTGAAAGGGTGATCGATTTTTTAAATAAAGTGTAGTATTGGTCTGACATAAAACTGCGCGTAAATATTGCCACCAAATCAGTTTCATTGTCATTAAAGAGCATCCTTTATATAGTAACAAATTTAGAGCTGGCTTTGTATGAAAAATCTACACTAAAGAGCAGTTTAAGTAACCATCAAATGACACTAAGCGCGGCAGTAAGTCTTATTACCTAATTGTTCCTCAAAAACGAGTAATGTCGCTAAATTTATTTACATTTTTTTTATATATCTAGTTATAGTTACTGTAGTCATTATACATTAAAATACTTGTCTTTAATTACAACATTTTAATATTTAAAAAAAATTATCATTTTAATTGTCTGGAAAATAAAAAAATAACTTTACTATTCTTAATATATGTTAAAAATTAAATAAATTATTTTGTCTTATATCAATTTTAACCAAAATTTGAAAACACCGATTCATTAGGATTGATATAAAATTTCCATAGACAGAATAAATTTTAATCGATAAAATTGTAAATCCAAATTTATATACACCTATGCAATATTTTAGTATAGTATAAAAATTGTAACTACAGATTGTTAGTCGTACAAGCTTTTTATGTTACAACTATCAAGATTATTCTTATTATAGTTTAAGTATTTTTACAACAATATTATATCTTATATCTAAACGCTTTTTTGCACGGGCGATTTTTAACGCCGCGATAAAACTCGGCCTTGCCGCCTCTTGAGCGATGATTGCTTTAAAATCACTTTGAAAAAGCGTCGCGCTAAATGTCATTGCCATACGTATAAGTGAATAGAGAAGCTTTTAATCCATTTGAACGCTTTTTTTAGCGAGCGTTAAAAAAGCGCCCGTGTGAATAGAGCTTACAGTTTAAAAACAATTAAATCCTCCTAAAAACGCTTTATTCAAATTACATTTAATAATAAATAACGGTGTAGGAAGAAAAATATTCTATGCTACTTCTTTTTCTTCTAGTTATGATAATATAATATAATTTAAAAAAAATATACCCAGAAGTAAAGGTATAAAATATCAATTTGTTTCGAAGAAAAAAATATTTTTTAATTTTAAATTTATTTTATACTACGCTTATATATCTAAACATATATCACATACTGGGCTCTGAGCGAACTTTTTAAGGTTTAAAAAAGAAGAAATAATTGAACAAATAAATGGTTTTTACACAACTTACAAGCGAGAGCCTTGGTGCTTTTAATTTTTCCAAAACATAAGACTGTGTAAACATACAGTCAGATATTCAATTAGTCAATATTTCTTATAAAATAAATTAAGAATTACAATAATAATATTCTTTGTTCGTTCATACATCTAAATCAATTAATTTTAAATCCTAATCTAATTTGAACTCAATAAAACTCAATATTTTATTTTATTTTTTAATAGTAAACATTTAAAGACAACACAAAAGCCTTTCTTAAATTCTATGCATAATCATAATTACAAATAATTAAGAAAAATATTGAATACTAAATGTTTAGACGAATATTACTAGAATTATAATAAGTGTAAACAAGACGTGTAATGCTGGGAGGAGCAAGTCAGCCGACTGTGCGGACGCGGCGAGTGCGCTAGCTGCTGCCTCAACGCATTGTCGGTACGCGACGTGCTCCAAGCACGTAATCGCACAAAAATGTTGATGCGCACACGCACCGTCACAATTATCAGCACTTTCATGTTTCACATTGTAAGCCCGTAGGTACCTGGATAGAACAGAACTTTTATCTTTCATTATGAATTGAACATTAATTTTTTTTTTGTAAGATATTAGCAGATTTTTTTTGTAAATTTACTAATATTTCTTTAACCATTCCAACTAAGCTCTAAGGTAACTAAGCTTGTGCTAGGATATGGTTTACGAAAAAAGTCGAATTGCGGGATTCGAACCCCCGACCTCGTGGTCCGAAATCCGTACCCTTAACCATTAGGCTATTAACGCTTAAAATAGAACTATTATTTTTCTTTAAAAATCTTTATTACTAATTTTATAAATTCTAATGTTTAGATGGATGGATGTTTGTTTGAAGGTATCATCACTGCGGGTGCATGGATCTCGTTGAAATTTGGCATGGATGTAGAACATAGCCTGGAAGAACACACAGGCTACTAATTAACTTTTTTTTAATTCCGCGCGGATGGAGTCGCGGCGACAGCTAGGTTGCCTATAAAACGTCAGTTTTTAGTCCATTCGAAAAGCAAAAATATGATCTATTGTGTTATTTAAAAATGGATAGGAGTGTAAATTCCTAGTTAATATATTTAAAGTTTACAATAAAGAAGTAGAAATAAAGTGAAGGACGGCTTACTTATTAAACATAGCGGTTTCATGCGGAGCGCCTATACGAAGTTTATCGGCAAGGTTATGCAATGAGTCCGCGGACACATCGCGCAGTCCGTAGTACTGGGTCAAGTTATACTCCGCCGTCCACTCGGCGCCCGAGCCCGCTCGGTTAGCCGCTGCTAAATCTAAGTAATATTGCGTGTAGTCTAGTACCTGTTGACAGTTTTTTTTGTTGTTAAAATGCCGTCTACTTCCTTATTTTGTCGGTGAAGATGTACAAGAAGAAACTTTTATATAAAACATGATGTAATCTGTTTCTAATGTGAACAAATAGGTCTAAGAATCGCACACATGCACTAAATTGTCGGAAGGGATTTTCATATTGCTTACCTTACCGGTGTCGGAATCAAATTTATAAAGTCTGAGTCCCGGGTTCGATGAACCTGTTGGGTCATGATGTGGACTCACAGATGGTGCTAGTAACGCCCATGATACTGGTTGGTCTAAAAAAATACGGTTATATTCTCATAGTAGTCAAGAGTTAGTACTGTTTTGCCCTTTATATAACTAAAAGTTTTACTGAATCAACTGATATACGTGTATATACAAGAGGTCCCTATATAAGCTTTCATCATCATCATCAGCTTACTATACGTCCCCACCGAGACGCTCGGATTCTACCCTAAGTTAGGGGTGACTAAGCCATAGTCAACCACGCTGGTCCAGTGCGGGTTGATTGACTTCACACCTATCTTTTGAATTTTTTCTCAGATATGTGCTGGTTGCTTCACGATGTTTTCATTCACCGTAAGAACACATTGGAACATGGCGGGATTTGAACCCAGGACCTGTAGATTACAAGTCTAGTGCCTAAGCCATCGAGCCACCAAGGCTCGAAAAAAAGAAGAAAAGGCTTTACCACAAGTTAACCTTAAAAATTAACAATTAGCATTAAACCTTTGTCATAGATAACACGGAACGTGTCCGCGTGTAAATGTCCAAAGAACTGTCCCGCAATAATTTTAGCGTGACGCCGTATCGTTCGCAAGTACTTTGCGTTCGCGTCCACTGATAAAGAATTGTAAGCTGGACGTAGATCCGTCCCTGGTGCTGCGTGACCCACTATATATACCTGCAAGAAAATTTACTATTATTATCGTAGTTATCATTGCCTAATACGGTCGGCGATCATTAAGGCAACCTGAACCCTTGACACCGTAGCTCTGAAAAGCAAACGGGTACTCTATCCGAACCACTAGCGAGCAAGTTGCCTTAACGATCGCCGACCTTTGAAAGAAGATTACATTATAAGCAGAAAAACAATACGGTACTTTGTCGTCGCCTTTAAAGATATTATAAGAAGAGATGTTGAGTTTTAGGGTATATCATATTGTCTGCAAAATATATATCATTTTCAATTATATTGTTTATTATGTAACTAAATAAATAAATCAGTAGTTTTATTATGTGTACCGGAGACCTAATTTAGTCCTCTTTCCCTTCCCAACCTTTTGCTTATAAGGGGAGGATGGGAAGTGGAAGTGGACTTTCCGGATGAGAGGATGCATGGGAAGGGAAAATATTTTCTCACTGTGCATCCTCTCCTCCGTCGATTAAAGGTGGGCAACGCATATGCAATTGCGTATGTCTATCGGCAACGGTCACTTCGTTATTTCAGCGATTTCAGATGGCCGCTCGCTCGTAAGTCACCTTATGTTAAAAAAAATAGTAATTGCCTCACTCAGAGTCATTAAGTCATCACTAAGTAAGTTTTCTAATGTTTTAGATTTTACATGTAACCATAAACAGACTAAAATGTGGCAGTTAATATGTGTCGTTTTGTGCTTTTTCAAAAATATTCAATTTATTATTTTTTCCACGTTTTTAATAGTTTTAAACCTACATATATTTAAAACAAAAACTATTTCCACGAAACTTGTTGACAGTAATATATATTTCAAAGTAAATTGTAAATATAAATAAGAGGAAACCTTTATATATGCGATCTCTTGACAAGTTTGTATCAAAAATCTCTCGGGAGCTATGTGTCTACATAGTAAGTGAATGGAGTCATATAAAAACATATTCAGAGTTAGAACACACAGACAGACAAAACAATTCAGTTGCTACTAGCTTGATAAAATGCAGCATAATATTCAATGCAAATAAAACTATTTATAACGAACTCAGAGAATTTCCCATTGGGTTTTTATTCAATTTCGAAATTATGCTACATCTTTTATCTTCGTGAAATAATACAAATAAAGTTTATAACTTAATAATCAACTTATAAATAACAGTGAAAATTTGACTTATAAAGTTAAAATTAAAAATTAAGGGACATTTTTAATCGGCAAAATTATTTTTAGTGTTTATTCATAGTTAAAAAAACCTAGTTTATCAAAACAAAATGGCGTTGTATGTGGAAAACTCAAGTATCATAACTACGTCACCGGAACAACAAGAAGGATGTCCGGCCACCGCGGCGCTAATAAATTACCAGCTAAAACTCGTTAATCTAATCGCCTTTGAAATTGTTTCACAAAAATCATATAAAGAAGAATTACTGCCGACTTTCTGGCAACAACGTAGCATTGATTGTTTATACTATTTGTGAGTCTGATAAATTAATTCTGTGAACATTTTCCGAGATAGTAATCCTTTATAAATAGACAGGCTAAAGTTGTGGCATTTTGTGCCTATTTGATTTTCGTCATTTTAGCGATGACGGTACCAGTTTATAGCGGCGGTGAGAAACAGGCACGTTCAAGCCGGATCGAAGCATCAGCTTTCATTTCCAAAGATCTATCCATTTATAGAGACTATTAGAGAAGGTACAACGGTGGAAAAGATCTACACTACGCGTGTCTGTTATTTTTGCATACGTTTTTTTCTCCAAAAGATTGGCTGATTAACAAAAATGACTCTTGCGATTATTAGTTTTAGAACCACAGTTGATCCGTTTACTCGGTCCCCGCAATAAAATTTATAGAAAGAAAAATATGCTTACCATTTCTTTATTCGATTGAGCTTTATCTAATACAGCGTCCAACCATTCCCACTGAGCTTTTGCGGGTGCGCTGTTCACTTCACGGATTCCAAATAAATTTGTATTCAGAGCCACGATTCTTAGTTTACTGTGCGACTGTTCTATCGTATAATAACCACCTATAATTTAATATGAATGAATTCATCATTTCAATAAGATAAATAATTTATAGGTTAAATAAACATTTAAGGAACATTATTTACATAATTAATATTGTGTAAACTTTACTTAAGATCGAGATTCAGTTATGAGCTTAATTTGAATTACTATTTGAATATTTATTATTGTTTTTATTTTAAATATATTTAACTTTGTTAGTCTTGAGTCTTCAGCGATAGTAATTAGTTGACCTAATTTATTGTGAACTTTATAAAAACTTTAAAAGTAGGAGATCTTAGTAAGTATTACAGTGTATCAGAAACTGATACTTAGAAAATTCTAAAGACTTCAAAATGCAGGCGGTAACCTTTGAATATTTATTTTCTTATGTACATTATAAGATATTTATATTTATTAATATAGTTGTATTATATGTCGCCCGAGACTCCGTTTCTGATTAAAATCTAGATAGTAGCCAATTCTCAGACCCACTTAATATGTATATAAAATTTTATTAAAATCGGTCAAGCCGTTTCGGAGGGGTATGGTAACTAACTTGAGAATTTTATGTACGAGATATAGTTAGGTATAATTTATCACTTACCAATTTTAAAGGTTTGTAACGCTTCCAAAGGTAACCAGTGCATCCATAAATTAGTAAGAGTCTCAGAAGGCGAGGGATCCAAGTGTCCGAGGACTGGGAACACGAAATGAGAGCTAAAAGTCCTGCCGAGCAACTCCGTCATGTTTCTGATCGCCCGGTACCTGTCATCTTCATTGCCAGTATATCTAGCAGCTATTATATCCCTAAAACAGATTAAAGGAGATTAGATTATATTAGAAGACTATTGAGCAATAACTATCCTTATTTAGATATGAGAAATGAAGTACAACACAATAAAGCTACATTTTGAGAAGGACCTTGTAGCCCTTTTTATATTGACAGGTCAATGAACTTTAACACTTTATTTTTTTCTCTTATTCTGACTGGATCGAATTTGGATTATTGTTTTATAACACCTATAAATTCATAGAGACATTTTTATCTACGTTTATAAATGTAAATAAAAATAGTTTATTTTAATAATTTAATAATAAAAAATTGTACAAAAAATTCATCGTACTGTATAATTCGAGGCGGGAACGTTACACAAAGGCGTTATTGAGGACGTTTGACATTTTCTAGTGAAAGCGTTTGACACATACGAGACGAGGGTACAAGACAGCCTCGAAACTTTGCCTCGGAAATTGTTACATTCTTACAAATTCTCAGGTTTCATGTTACGTATTGCCATGTTGAAATAGAAGGTTAAGGAAAAATGTAAACGGTGTTATAATGCCACCAAAAGCATTCTAGCAGTTTTATTTTCACTACTTTCATACTGTTATAAATTATATTTTGTCTGTAAAAAGTTTTATAGGCATGCCAAAAGATTTTTTTTTATTGTGATCTGTCATTCCTTAATATCGAAGTTATTCGAGAAAACCAGAGGTAACATTTAATTTTCTTTATATATTTATTATCAGTTATAAAAAAAACACTTGACAATTCTTTTCCTCTAGTTTATATAGTACTACATTTTAAAACTTACAATATAAACAAACAAAGTTTTTAAGCCTTTATCAATTTAGCGTTAATTTGAACTCCAACTTTGGTCCTATCCTAACAGATTACTTGATGTAAAGTACATACCCCGTCCACAATACGAACTCAACGTTCTCTGAGTGTCGTGTTCTCATGTACTTGGCTGCAGATTCTATGAGTTCCAGTGAACTGTCGCACGAGTAGTCGCCGTAACGACCAAGTGCGCGGTGGTGCCCCGAACTGCCGCGTTCGTCCGCACGCCGACAATCTGTACGATGTGGAGCTGACACTTTTAGTTGACATTAAGAGACGTGTACATTAGTAAAGACTAAATACTATATATATCACGAAGAAGAATACGAATATTAATCACATTTTTGGTTGACTTTTGTAACACTCTGTATAGCCAAGAGGACTTGTAAGGCAGCAAGTTGATGATAAATTATTATAATTGTCTTGTTTACTTACATCTCCGTGTATCTCCTTGTGGGGTGTACAGGGGATCGTAATGAAAATCTGTTATGTGCCAAAAATAACCTGAAACAAAAACCATATTTATTACCTAAATTTAAGTAAATAATAACATAATTTACGTACTTACGAAATTTTCGTGAGTTGCGTAATTAAAAAAAGTTTCATTGATCTTACTGTTATAAAAATGACTTCATGGATCTCGATGGAAGTTAGCATAGAAGTAGAATTTAGTCTAGAATACTTCGGCTACTTATTATTATATTTAATTCTGTATGGACAGAGCCGCCGACGATAGCTAGTATGGAATAAATTTAGGAAATTTGAAGAGTACCTCTTACTCAATTTTCTTTTCTATTTAATATTCCTTCAGTTGTTGGCATGTTGGTATTTTTAATATAAAGAAGCTTTCCTTTGTTTAAAAAGATTAAATTAGGATGCTAAGGAGCAAACAAGCAGAATCCGGTTGCTTTACAAAAAAGTAAAGGTTATTTTCTCTAACTCGGATTTAATTCTATGTTGTCGGGCGGCGCAAGTAAAAACATTTAATGCTTTCTAAACACGAAACGACAATTTATTTTCTTTTTATGTTATAGCAAAAAGATGTCAAAACTCATATTCACGTTCTGAATTCCAATGAGAATTCAAAATACTTTGCCGTATGGTTATTATTCAGTGCGAAGCGGTATGTACATTAAAGTGTGCTCATAGTTTAAATAATTCCTTGAAAATATACACAACATGTACTATGGGTTTCCACTGTCGAAACATGACTAGTAAAAACTCATCAATCTTATTACCAAAAACATGTTTTTCAACAGTGATTACGCACGGTTATAAAATGAACAGGAAAAAAAATATTGACAAAACTATTTCCTGTTACTAAAGCAAGAAAATGTTTATTTAGTGACAAAAAGTTGAAGTCAATTGAAAGGAAATATTAACGCTGAGCCAAAAGCTCAACTGAATGTCACGCGCCGTCCCATCTCTAATAAAAACAGACTGTATTTTCCTGCGGCGAAGAACTGATGAAAAATAAATTCCCAAAAGAAAATACTGTCACACAACACTGTTCCGTACCAAAAGCGTCACTATAATTTGTTAGACTTTATCCGCACGGCCGAGCTCGACGTTGCCAAAAAAACGAATGATAAATGAAACACCCAATTTCAACGATGAACAATTGCGTTAAAGTACATGATATAACTGTGAGATTTTTTTTTATAACAGACGAGCAGCGGGAAAACCGAGGTGTTCAACGACGCCTCTGGACATCAGCAGTACCAGAGGAATCGCAGATGCGTTGCCGGCATTTAAGATAGTGATAAGCTCGCTTCTTGAAGAACCCTCAGCCGTAGCGGTTTGGAAATACCGCCGAGGACAGACCATTCCACAACGCTGCTGTGCGAGGCAGGAAGTTTCGCGCAAACCGCACGGTTGTGGATTGCCAGCCATCGAGATGGTGTGGATGGATCCTGGTGGTCTGTCGTGTCGTCCGATGACGGAACTCGGCGGCAGGAATCGTAGTTTATTTTAACTGTGAGCACACTTTACACATACTGATTCAACTATCAAAATATGTTTACAGCAATGTAGCATCATCCCTTTTACACTCATTAAAAAAACTGAGATAACACGATGTTTTAATGCATGTGTTGCACTAGTGGAAACGAACGCGCGAGGTAAAGCGCAATTTGATTTGGCAATTGCTTAACTCGACTGGGGACATAGCTTTGTTCTGGATTTACTGAAGATTTATATGTACATTACTAGCCGTCGCTCCCGACTTCGTCCGCGTTAAGTTTAAATAAGTTAAATGAAAAGCAGCTCTTCATTCGAAAAAAAGAATAAATAGTATCCTATGTCCGTCTCCTGACTCTAAGCTATCTCCTCACCAATTTTCAACCATATCGGTAAAGCCGTTCTTGAGTTATAAATAGTGTAACTAACACGACTTTCTTTTATATATATATATAGATTTGTTAGAATCATTTGCATCGAATATCGCGCTCTTGTTATTAAGTCAAATGTCAGATCGATTAGTGATGGGACGTAAGCGTTGCTATAATAGGTCTAGTGTTGCGCCAATACACCGGCATAGTGTCAGTTTTTCTCCCTAACAATAGGGAGATGCCACATGACAGGTGTGTAACCGCTCATACATAGAATGTGAGATACCTCCATAAGCTATATAGACTAAGATAAACATTGTTTCAAGCTATTTTATTGTTAGTTAACGTTTAGTGTTATCAAAATATAAGGAAACCTACAAACATTACAAAAGAAGACGTGAAAGCTAAATCCTAAGACAAACTGTCACGTGACTTGTTTACATTTCATACATTATGTCTTATTAATCTTTTTTTACATAGAATTTGTATCTATAATATGTACACGAATCTTGTATAATTGTGTTTATTACGGCTGACACGTGACAAGGTAGGCGCGCGTATTTCATTACAGACGTTGTATTATGAATATTCGGGTAATCTGACGTAACACCTACTGGTGCCTAAAACAGGTTATTAATGGCGTCAAATGCCACGTTCATTGGCACATGATCCTTGTTAAAATATTTTATTATATTTACATTATTCGTAATTAAATATGCAAAGCTCTAGCAAAATAGCTTGAGTCATTCGATGAATGACAAACTATTTACTTACGTGGAAATAAATGAAAAAAAAACTGGTTTGATTTTAGATTTTATAACCCGACAGATTATACAATCTTAACTTTCTTTGGAGATGAAAGGACACTAGAAAGTTGATTCTATAAATAATCTAGTTGCTGGTATTGCAAAAATATTTTTTGAGTATTTGGATGAGTGGATGGATGGATGTTCGTTACGATTATGTCTAGGACAATTGCGTTTACCTATGATCCAGAAAATGTGTACTTAATTCCATGACACCGCACATGCTATTGAATATAAACATAGTCTGGATGAAACATGATATTCTTTTAACATTTTTTTCAATACTGCGCATACGAAGTCGCGGCCAAAATTATGCGAAAATAAAGGTAAGCGAAAAGCTTGATAGAGCAAAAAATGTCTAGGGAAATGTTGAGAAATTAGATAAAATCTGTCCGTCTTAAGCCACAGGCCCCAGCTCGCTCGCGCAGCAAACTTTGTGAACTCGAGCGAGTTCAACTCGACGAATAAATTAGAGGAGCGATTTGTATTGCAAGAGGATAAAGTTGTCTTAATTTATAAGGCAAGCTTTAAGAACGAGGCTTAGTCGAGAATGCAAGAAACTGTAATGTCTTCCCACGTTTATATTTAATTAATTCATTTATAATGCTACTTCTTCCACTTGTTATTACATTAGAAATCAAATAAATTGTCAAAAAAAATTAAACCAAATTAAATCAATAAAAATATTAACTGTAACTTGGGTAATATCTTCTGAACAATCAATGCTTTTTTAAAGATATTACGGTTTACAGTGTACAGATACCCTTATATTCGTACAATATATTGGCCGGTTAACTGATTTGGTAGAGAAAATCCTAAACAAAGACTTCATGTAAATGTAAAGGAAACAAAAGAGCAACCATTAATATGTTCGATTCGATCGGAGTTTGTCAGCAGTTTGTGACGCGGAACACCTAGTCGCGTGCACTGCTGCGGCGTTGTTCTCACGCACCCACTAACCACATAATAACGCCCTTTGATTGATGAATACATCCCACCCGCGATACCCTGTCTGACAGCCCAACGCTTCCCTGTATTGTTGTTTGACGCGATTTACTCTTAGCTTGAATGACGTTACTATTCGTGCTGACCCAAATACCTTTAGTAGAACGAGGAACTTAGTGTACACGTTACACCACTAGCGTTTGGTTACAAATCGATTATTTTTACAAACAATGACGAAACATGCCGATAGAAGGTCCTCTACACGACCACGCTTTCAAAACATTCTTAGTTTTATTATAAGTCTGATTATCATTAGTCGTCGAAAAAAAAATGACAAGATGTTAACAAATTTACTTAAAGTGTCATCCAATTTATTTCTAAATAGCTGTCGCCCGCGACTCCGTCCCCGTGGATATATAAAATAAATTAATGTAGAGATAAGTTAAATAAAAAATAGCTCTTCAAGGCATAATTTCGAAAAAAAAAAAAAAAAATATAATAGTATCCTATGTCCGTCTCCTGGCTCTAAGCTACCTTCTCACAAATTTTCAGCCATATCGGTAAAGCCGTTTTTGAGTTATAAATAGTGTAACTAACACAACTTTCTTTTATATTGTATATAGATAATCCAAAAAGTTTTTTATAGTGGAATGTAGTAAGCAATTAACAAACACTTGAATTCGACAAAATAGCAAAGCGATCGTTGCCCATAGACATATGCATCTGTACGTTGCCTATATGTAGTAGACAAAACAGGGGGCGCACAGTCAGAATAAATTTCCCCTTACTATACCTAATTCACCTCCTCCTCTCATCTCTTTCTTAAAAGAAAAAGATGGGAGTGGGAATTATTATCAAATAATACATAATATATGAAATAGATAACTTATATGTACTATACTCAAGTATATAAATAAGTAAGCACTTGGCACAATGCCTATATTGCTACGCTCGAAGATTAACCTGACGTTGTGAAAGTCGGAACATCAATCACCCCTCACCCCTCATCCCCCACCCTTCAACAAAGCAACGGGGTGCCTCGTGATTAGCGGCTCTAAATTATCTTTCGCTACCCTTACTTATATACGCCGTTGGCTCTGCTAACGTATGTATTATGCAGTGTACATATATGTTCACAAATGTTGGAAATAGAAACATAAACTCTAAGTTAAACAACAAAAGTTTTGTTAATTATGTTAAACTGCGTTTGTAATCTAACCTAAAGATATATTCTTGTTTTTAAAGCTTCTATTATTTGTTGTTATTTGAACAACATTTCTTATTAAATATTACTAAAATTAAAAATGACAATGTTTGGATGGATAGATGTGTGTTAGAAGGTATCCCCAGTACGACTGAACGGATCCCGCTGAAATTTAGCATAGATGTAGAACATTTTTTTTTCATAAAATATTAATAATTCTTTAACCATTCCAACTAAGCTCTAGGCTTGTGCTAACTTATGGTTTATGACAACACTCGAATGGCGGGATTTGAACTCCCGACCTCGTGGTCGGAAATCCGTACCCTTAACCATCAGGCTTTTGACGCTTATTGGAAGAACATTGGAAGAACACATTGACTACTATTTAAGTTTTTGTTAGTTCCGCGCGGCCATAGTCGCGGACGACAGCTAATCTGTGTATAAACATACAATTGAATAAAAATATTTTTCTTAGTACACATAAATAAATATAAAATAATTTATGAAAATAAAACAAGCAATTGTGTTTTTCTATTTAGAATTATTATAAACAATGGTCTCATCAATTTTATTAACTGGTCCGTGGAATATTCAATTTCATGTATAAGTAGATGTAATAAAACACCAAATGCCAGAGCGCAAACGTACCATGAAATGAAATCATTTTTTACCCCCAGATTGAACACAAACGGTTGCCTTCTTTGTGAGCGTAACTATATTTGGAAAGGAAAATATATCTTTAATACTTGTTTGTAAGAAAGCTTGTGCTTTCTTTCTAAATCTTATAACGTTTACTATTCTTAGTTATTAGTAAAAAAGATTTGCTTTACTATAGTGCATATTACACTTATATACTACTAGCGGTCAGCTGTAAGATCGTCCGCGCGGAATAAAAAAATAGTACCCTATGTCTTTCAGAATATGTTCTATATGTATGCCAAATTTCATCGAAATCTGTTTAGCCGTTCCGGAGATACCTTCAAGCAAATTTCCATCCATCCATCCATCCATCTAAACATTTACATTTATTATATAAGTAAGAAGTAAGATATGTGTGTAGAATAAAAATTAAGTAAAAATTAATATTTTTATACTTCCGTCGCTCTCGAGCCGATGAGGTTGATAACGACGAGCCCCTCAGACTTGACCGAGTTTATTTTTTCAAAAGCAAAAAAATATTGATTTGGAATTTAAAATAAAAAAAATTGATTAAAAATATATTTATTGTATGTCGGTTAAAAGTGTAAAGTACTTAAAATTTGGAAGCAAATATCTTTTTATCAAGAATATGTTCATTTTCTTACGTACAGTCAGTGCCCTATGTGGTGTTGCACTTTCGGAAAAATTGCATTGTTTCTTGCATCGAAACAAACTCCGTCCCTTTTTACAAAATAACCAATAACGTAGCAGTGAGTTATGCAAACGACATCATAAAAGTAAAAAGCATTTATTGTTAACAGACTGATAGTTTCAGATTACATTTAATAGCTGCGTCCTATTGTTTATTTTTTCCGCGTCGTTATCTCAACGCTTCTAAAACATTGAAATGACTGTCGCTCTTAAGTTGGAATACCGCCAAACTCCCTCGTAGTACTTACTTAAACGTAACTTAATATTACTCCGGGATGTAAGATATAAATACCAAAGCTTAAAGTTCAAAGGTAAAGTAGCCTTGATAAACAAATCACTCGTGTGACTCAAAACTCATGAGTTAACTAACTTTGTAATGAGGCATTCGTATACCATCAAATGTGTGGAAAGTCGAAGTTTTTTGATATAAAATAAATTGCTTCTCAAATTTGTCTTTAGACGTTTGAAAGCTAAAATGTCTTCAAAATATTGCCAATGTTTATTTTTTTTTTAATTATTGGTTTCATTTTATTGGACAATGTTATATTTGTTTGATTTAAAGGATTTCTTTACCCTTTATGGGTATAAGTAAAATTTACGGGCAAAAAATGAGCTGGTCATAGGTAGTAGTTATTTACAAAATCTTTATTGTCATTAACATCATCAACCTGCCCTTATCCCTATTGGGGGTCGGCACAGTATGTACTACTCCTCCATACATCTCTATCAGCCGTCATATCCGAATCTACCCCCTTCCTACGTATATCCTCTTTCACACAGTCATTCCATACTTTTTTTGATTTTCCTCTACCTCTGTAGCCATCCACATTCAATCTCATTATTTTTTTGCTTATATCATGTTCAAACCACGCTAATCTTCTACTCCTCAATTTCGTGATCACTGGCGCTTACTTTCAAACTTCCTCTAATATACACATTTTTGTCATAAGTTGTCATTAAGAATGCTTTAAATTATTTATACAGGTAGTATTGATGAAATTTATACAACCTTATTATAAAGAGATTGAACCCTCCCGAGTCAATAGTTTCGGCTTTGTAAAGGTCAGTATGTCATTATGAAGGTCTTGTAATATTCTTGAACGCGTGTGTAGTGGAAAGTATTATAATTAGAAGCACGTACTATAAATATTATACGTTCTTTTTGGTGATGTACAAAAAACACATTAATAGTTGGTTCAAAGGTCCAAGCAATCGCAAGGGAAATCTAGATTAAATGTCATTTAGCTGGAGCTTCGTGGCTCGTACGAAAAACATGAAACTGTGGGTCACGTTTTGTGATAGGCGATAAAGAAAAAGAACTTTTTACCGGACTGTACTGTATCTTAAAGCTTTGGAAAATACGAGTTTTTATTGAGGTTAAAATGTAAAATCATCAAAGGAAGATTAAAACAATTTAAAAATACTTTTGTGTTCAATCTTAAGCAGTTAGTTACAGACTTCTGCTATTAAATCTCCACTAAGTTTTTCTTTAGTGACCAATTAAACTCTAGTGCATTAATACGGCTTTAGTATGTTACTCATCTGATCTGTGTATTCAAATTTAATTGGTATTAAAATAATCCACTTACCTATTTTAGCGTGAGTACACGAGAAGGTAAAGACACAAGTTAGTGTCAGTAATAAATAGGGGATCTTCATTTTACTCCTCGGGCTTAGGTCACGTTCATTGTTAGAATTCTTTCGCCTCCCAAGAGTACCTGCGAAAAAAGATAGTTAATTAGAAACTTTATCAAGATTCTTAAAGCAGTCTTTAAAGTACGAATTTTATACTTCACTTTAACTAGGTTTAGATGAAAGTTTACACGGTAGTAAAAAGGACAATATTTGACGTTCACTGTGTATTTCCCCACATAAGAAAAAAACACTTTTAGCTACGTAAAGCACATAATTTTGATGTTAATATTGTCTAGGGGGCATAGCAGTGCCACTGCCGAAACAAACACAGCAAAATAATCTTTCTCTTAATTTTATTTCTCCTATTTCAATCAAGAATTAGTTTAATATTTGATAAACACGGGATTTGGTTTATCATTACTTGTTTTTAAAAAAATTACTTTTTTTTAATAGCTTTTTTACAAATAAAACAATCTAAGCTTTGTTCGTACTCAAACCCTCTACTGTAAATACAAAATCATTCAACAAAATATTGCAAACATTATATCCAAAAGAAAAACAAAGAGATTTGCTTAGGATCGAACGTTCAATTTATACACGAAGTTAGGAAAACCAATTTCCTTTGCAAATGTTTTAAGAATACAAATCGAATGATCGAATTTTATTTTGATTTATGTACTTATAATAGGAGCATCGGTATTGAGGTATTACGCGTTTACTGAATCTCGATCACTAATAAATTTATTTTGAACTAACAGTTGCCTGCAACCTTTACTTTGTCCGCACGGAATTTGTAAAATCTAGTAATAAATATAGCCGATGTCAAAAGGCGATAGTGTAGCGTCCCACCAGAGAAAAAAATCAAATAGTTTTATAGTTTCAGAGCCTTTTGCAATTCATAGAAACAAACAATTAAATCTTTCGTCTCTTATTTCTGCTTTTGGTACAGTGAGACTTTATAACAACAACTTTAGGAATAAAAACTTATCAATATCTCTTTTGTTTTGATGGAAAATGAAAAGGATGGTATTATAATTAAAACTTATAGTTAGGTAAATGTTAACGTAATTTTTACAAATTGATGACGTCACAATATGGCGTCGATTCATTGACATTTTTGAAACCCAATGTACATACCTTTACAAAGCGCAAATACGAGTATGTACAAGAATGGTACAAGAAATATAAGTCAATTAGCACAAATGTGCTATTTTGTTTTTTTAAAAAAAGCTAATATAAATGACAAAATATGAACAGTAGATGAACAAATGCAACTACATTACGGCTTCATGAAAAATACTTTTCTTAAGTGTAGAATATATTCATAGTCGTTACCATTTTTCCAACTTTAAAATATTTAATAACATCAAAGACTTACTTAGATTGTGCACTTGACAATTTCACTCCAAGTGCCAAGCTAGATAACTTGCTGATTTATTTAAGTTGAAATCTTTATGGCCAAGTTATATCTGAGAGCGAGGTCGTTACGATACTACGGGAGGACGGAAATTGCATTTTATAATGTGTAGCTAACTTAACAGCCACTGCAAGCCGTTACTGAATATGGAAAGTAATTTATCACCATGTATGGATAGTATCACTTAACTTTATTGACTTATAATACCCATAAATTGTAGATTTATGTACTTGTATTGTTTACTATACAACAATATTAAAAGGGAAAATTTTCATAACATGCTAGTATTTCATAACATGATCTTTTACCTATTCAGAATACTTATGACAAATAAAGTTTACTGTAGTATAGCTGTCGCTTCCGACTCCGTCCGCGTGAAGTTAAAAAGAAAAATTAATTAGTTGAACATGTGTTCCTCCAGACTATGTTCTACATATATGTTAAATTTCATCTATAGATGTGTAGAGCGGTTTCGCAGATACCTTCTAACAAATGTCTATCTCTCCATTTATCCAAACATTCGCATTTATAATATTACTAAGATTGAAAAAGAGTTATTATTGACTTGTAACTTAAGAGCTAAGTAACCTAAATTATGGCGTTAAGCTAATATAATTAATTATTATACATTTGTTCTTCTTTTCAGGTCATATTTGTATGAAATTACATTATGAGTGTATGATGTGTAAAAATATATAAACAAATACATAATATAGACAATTGTAACATTTAAATTCATTAAGGGGGAACGAGCCGTAAAATAATAGGGCCACTAATGATTTAGTCGCGTGTTACTCTACTCTTATTGATATAAGAAATTCAATGTTGGTTTTTGGAAATTAATAATTTTGTATTAAGTGCTTTTTTTTTTTTATTATCGTTAAGTGAAACAGTACCTGGATGACCGAGCTTTGCTCGGTATTTTTTTTTTAATTGTGTTTTTTGGAAATTATATTTAAGTACGAATTACTAATAAAATGATGAAATATGAATAATATTTTTCTATCTTACCGATAGAAAAAGTTAATTTTATGTTTAAGTTGATTATCGATAAAACACGAATAAAATGACATTTTCTAAAAATGATTCCTAGCTAGATCGATATATCGCCCCCGAAACCCCCAATATACTAAATTTTATGAAAATCGTTGGAGCCCATTCCGAGATTACAATTATATAGTTGTGTATAGTATATATATATATATATATATATACAAGAATTGCTCATTTAAACATATACGATATGTCTTATGTATGCGTTTTAATGAATTTACAGCGTATGTATTTATTTTTATATAAATTTTAGACATCCAAAATAGAATGAATCTGCTAAAATTAGATGCAGGACGCATAGGATAGGAAAATACTTTCTTTCTGGGCGTCTCAACCTCCTTCGGTTAAAGGTTGGTAACGCATATCCCTTCGCCGTTTCGGCGAATTCAAGTGAGCGCTTGCTTGTTTAAAACTTTATAATAAAACATGTTCATTATACGTAGATTACTCTTGCTATAACTAGTTATGACGGAAATCTTAATACCTTTTTAGTATGAAAACCTTAATAAAATAATCAGCTGAAGCAAATTTAATAACACAACTTGTGTAAATGCTCCATTATTTGATCGAAAAAGAAACACGTAACCCATTAAAGTTGTACGAAAGTATTTTAATGACAAATGTCATATGGAAATTTTATATGAAAGCGTACATTAGTCGTCGCCACTGCACTGCAGTGTATTTTCAATTTTGTTTTGTTGTTTGTTACTAACAAGCTATGCCACAAAGTTCTTCCATTTTAATTACTTTTATATTGTTTCATTGGCGCAAATGTTTTTATGAAGCTTGGCACAACTTTTGGTCATTTTCTACCAGCGACTGAACATTATGTTGCAGATATCAAAGTTTTTGCTATTGGTAGTTCTTATGGAGTGTTAAATACCGTATACTTGATGACTTTGTTTTTGTTATCCAATATCTTTGTATTTGAATTTTCTCTCACTTCTTACTAATATTATATATGCGAATGATTAGATGGATGGATGTTTGTGTGAAGGTATCTCCGTAGCGGCTGAACGGATCTCGTTGAAATGTGGCACAGATGTAGAAAATAGTCTGAAGAATGCATAGGCTACTTATTAAGCGTTTTTTTATAATTGCACGTGGACGGAGTCGCGGGCGACAGCTAGTAAGATAATACAATATGAATACAAAGTGCTATTTCACTGCCAAAAAATCGTATCTCTTTTAACAAGAGACATTAATAGTTTTAATGCGATTTTTTCTGCAGTTTTTGTTTGTTTCAACGAGCAAATTTCAGCTACTTCTGGTCCGATTTGAAAAAATATTTTTTGTTAGATAGTCCATTTATAGAGGAAGGCTTTAGGTTATATAACATTACGCTGCGAGCAATAGTTTTTTTTTTAATTCCGCGCGGCCGGAGTCGCGGGCGACAGCTGGTCCCTATATCTTTCTTTGTATCAAGATTTTAAGAAAGCACTCAACTCTCACGTAAAGTAATATTTAAGAACACTTCTTTGCTTTTGGTGTAATACTTGGATAAGAAACATTACAGTTTTACAGCGTTTCCTCCGACTACAGTCAAGATATAAAAATCTTATGATTACTCTAAATATTACGCTGGCCTTCATACTGGAAATGATCAAAATAAAAAATACTACATCGAATTATAAAACATATGAAAACAATCATCATTAATTCGATTCACACCAATATCGCCGCATCGATACTAAAGAAACTACGACGATTCTAAGACCTAAATCCCTGTTTATAACAAACCATTATTATGCTATTATGACTTATTTGCAATTATGTTTAAAAATTTCAAAATAAAAATGCTCGTTATGTCCGCTCTATAAATAGTAAACTCTTTGGTTTACAAAGATATGACATTGATACGTTTAAAATAAAATGATCTTAAATTACGTTGCCTACACAAGTTATCGTAGCCGAGCTCCGGCATGGTTAAATAATTCAGACCGGATTACGACATCTCGGTGTGACGGGAAGATGTATAGTCGATATCTAAATTGACCAGAAGATCGACAGACAGTACGGTTATATATTGCGGTCAACGGTTCACTTGATTTAAGGATTTTTTTCCTTAAATCTTGCGTTTTTTGAACACTTTAGTTTTGACTTAAAATGTTAAGCTGTTTAATTTAATATTTTAATTATCTTTAAATGTAGATGATAAAGTGGATTGAATAATCGTGAGTTTCTGAGACTGAAAACCCCGTTTAAATTATACTGTTATCTCTGTTTTTTTTTCAAAGATAATGACAGAGATGACGTTAAACAGAGGTTTTGGTCTCAGAAACTTATCGTTGATAAAACGAAATGGGCACTTATTTTTTTTTCTTTTAGTTGTCAACATTTTATTTCAATTATAAAATATTTCCAAAATAAATTCTATCAGAAAGTTCAAGTTAATGTTTAAAAGTTAAGATTTTAGACTAACATAAAAATCTTTTGTTTCATTAATTATTTTTCAATAAAAAGGCAAATGTTTTTTTCTTCTTGATGCTTGGCACCGATTTCGTAACTTCTCCCACTTCACCCCGAAGGCAATATTGCAAGTGATGTTCTTTTATGATTCCAAACGACCCTTAATTACAGTAGAATAGTTCTAAGTAATATGACAAAAATATA